TTTGTAAATACATTTGAACCTTGAGTTGTTACAGGACCGATAAGAACAGTTGGTATCGATGGCATAATGTATCATATTGTAATCTGTGGTTGATGTTCTTGTGTTTGGTTGTGATAATAAAAGGAGGATAGGAAAGAAAACTGTTATACTGTATCGCTACCTCCCCATCCATCTTTAATATCCACTCTCAGGTCATCAGAAGGTGGTGGACAGGACTGCAGCCTCCTCACGCACTGAGACTCAAAGTTTTCCAAAAACGCCACTGGAGCATTTTCCGCACACTGGCCCAGTCCAGCGTTCTGCTCACAAGACAACTGGGATTCATATTCATATCACATGCATTAATGTGCACACTCATATAAATTGATACATGCACTAGCAATGTTGCTGCATCTAACCTGTGGGATGGTGAAGTATTGGTCATCCTTAGTGAATATTGGATCCCCCTGGCGGTAGTTAATAGGAGGTACAGGAGCTGTCATCTGCAGGGCTTGGAATGATGGACTGGGCTTTGGAGAGCTGTAAAAACACATGCAAATGTAGAAAAATCACCAAACATTTTGGGATCAGTCATTTTTAATTAGCACTTTTATTTAGCAAGAATTAATTATATGCATTACATAGTTCTTTTGAAATTTCTGTTAATCAAAGAATCCTGATTAATCACAAGAAATGTTTGTTGAGTACTAAACCAGCATATTAGAATGATTTCTGAAGGATCATGTGTTACTGAAGACTGGAGTAATAGCTTCTGTATATTCAGCTTTGCCCTCACAGGAATGAATTACAATTTTAAATATAAAACAGAAAAGCATTATTTCAAATAATAATATTTCACAATATCAATGTATTTTGATTAAAAAATAAAGCCTTGGTGAGCAGAAAAAACGTATTTCTTACTGACCCAAACTTTTGTACATTTTTCAGTAAGTGTAATACATGAATTTAGACATAAACAAAACTTCCTCTTTCCTTACACTGTCCCACCATTGTAGAAAAGTCCCAGAAAGGGGTTGTTGTCCGAGAGGGAGGTGACACAGAGGAAGGGGAACCAATCAGGGTCATTTTCAGAAGACTGAGCTGAGCACTGATACTCTGGAACAGGACTGAAACTTCCCCCGAAAGGTCCAGGAAGACACGGAGTCGCAAACAACCCCAGAACTTCTTGAGAACAGTCCTGAAAAAATAAATAAATAAAACACTCATAGAAAACCTTAGACTTCCTGATTCCCCTATGTTAATATTTCTCGCTCAGATCAGCTTTATGAAATATTTATTGTGTACTGTGCTAGACTAATGGAGACTTGTCACAGCACTTGTATACTGTTGCTCTCTCGTTCATCTGGTTGCTTCTATTATTCTTCCTCATTTGTAAGTCGCTTTGGATAAAAGTGTCTGCTAAA